CCACTTTTGGGTCATGACCCACAGGTTGAGAAATGCTGATCTCTACAGTCATGCCTCTTACCATGCCTCGTGTGCATGGTAGGAAGTGCAGTTGTGGGGTTGAACATTAGATCTCATCTTGCCTTGTTGCTGGTGCAGAGGGAACCTGATCCTGGGCTCCCCCGACCCCAGCAAGAAGTGAGCTCCCATGGCTGGGAGTCCCCTCAGCTAAGGGGCTCCAAGCTGTGGGGTTACCTCATGCACCCCCAAGGCTGGGAGATGTAGCTGCCATGATCTCCCAGCCCTGGGGGTTTCATGCATGCCTGATGCTGGGGGATAGTGGCTGCAGTGATCTCCTAGACCCAGGAGTTTCACACAGCCCAGAGGCTCAGGTATAGTGGTTGCAGCAATATCCCAGGCTGGGGGTTTCATGCAGCCGTGAGGCTGGGGGTGGTAACAGGTACAGTGATCTCCCAGCCCCGGGGGGTTCATGCAGCCCTGAGGCCAGGGGATCACAGCTGCAACACATGGCTGCTGGGACCCAGATGGTTCCTGGCACCAGGAAACATGCTGCCAGGGACCCAACATCTGCAGGTGTGGGACTCTGGGTCTTGGCAGCTGTGGGGTGCTGCCGGGACCCAGAGTGTGCAGCTGCTGGGGCCAAGAGTCTCCAGCAGTTGCAGGACTCCCAGCCCTAGCTGGGCAAGGTGCACCCCTGTGGCAGTGAGTCCTGTTACATGACAGGGCCCCAGCTGTAGGAGACACCATGCTATATGTGCAAATTAAAGCTTGATAGCAACCAGCTATAAAGTTAATGCACTTTTTTGAGGTCTGACTTTATAGCTGGTTGGACCTCTTTATCATGTCTCAGCCTCTTGAAGGCTCAGATCAAGTGCAAGTACTTTGCATGTATAGCTGGTGTCTAGGTAGTTGCACAATTAACCCATTAATTGCAGGATGCCTGTAATGTGTAGAGCAGGGGTGGGCAATTATTTTGGGTGGAGGGCCGCTTACTGAGTTTTGGCAAGCCATTGAGGGCCACATGACAGACAGCCAGGGGCAGATAAATATTAATTTTCTAAATTTCTTAGGGGCCCCACAGGCTGGTTAGAAAGGCCTGGTGGGCCACATCTGGCCCGTGGACCGCATTTTGCCCACCCGTGGTGTAGAGGGGGCTTCAATCTACAAACCTGTCACTGAACCTGAAGTCCCTTTTATTATCCCTTTTCATATTTTCATCAAAGGAGATAGGTACTGAATAAATACTGAGATGATTCCAGCTCTGTTGGAAGACAATGAGAAACTTCTGTTGACTTCCCTTTTCTGTGGACAGATTTTCTCTGGCTGTTGTACTCCTCTTTTAGTTAGGATATGCTGATGCTGCTCTTTCATCGTGAAGAGAAACAACCAAATGAATTAATGCCAAGAACATATAACCAGACTGCCAAAGAGGCCAGATGTATAAGCTGCATTCATGCTGTACTTACAGAAGTGTGGTTTTTCATTTTTATATGACTGAGGCAAAGGAGAAGTAATAGTGAATTAATGTTGTTATACCCTTTGTAAAGAAACCAGTGCTGACTATTACTTTGTGTTTCAATAAAACAGATATGGCAGTCTTTATGTATGATCCATTTAGCAGTTAGGAGTAAACTGTACAATGTATTTTCCTCCTTTTTCCTGTTCTCATACTTGGAACGACCCCCAAAACAAGTGAAAATTTCAGTTTGTATTAGGCCAAGCTCACCCCTCCCTTCCAGAAGTTTGATATAAGGCTGTTAACAGCTGACTGGTTTGGATTGTTTTATTGTTTTATCATGAGACGGTTACGTGACAACAGTTTAAATATGCCTTTTCTCTCTCATGATTTTCCAGTTTCTCCTTTGTATTGCAGAACTATATTGGATGAGGTAAAGGAATAGAATCTTTACCATCAGGTATTAAAGACTGTATTAACTTTTGCTGTTCGTTATAAACCCATAATTCATTGTGGGTTTGTGTTGAAAATAATGGCCGTTATCAGTCAGTTTGTGTTCGTTTTCTTTATAATAGATGCTGGTTTTTTTTTTTTTTTATATTCCTATACATGATTTCATTGGTATGTGTTTAGTTATTCTGCCGCAGCTGTTAACATTTTTAATTCTCTGCCCTTTTTTCATCAAATCAAAGATTTGGAATGGGGACAAGCTGTTTCCCTAGGGAATGGAGCACTGTTTCTATATCTTTAGATTTTTGGTTGTAAATAGGAAACTTATTTATCTGGAAATCAAAAGAATCCTTCCTTTTTGAAGTTGTAAAAATACATCAGGAAATAATTTTTTTTTTAATTCATTTTTTTTATTGGTGCAAGTACACCAATAAAGTTGCAAAATTGGTGCAACTTTTTTGTAATTGTTTGCCCTCACTTATATGGGCTGCTACTGGATATTTAAGTGGTAGGACACACACTTTGGAAATGTTTAAATAGGATAAAAATTAAAATGACTTCTGTTTTTAAATTAGATCCTTTTTGAAACTCAACAGGCTGTATGTTACAGCTTGTGGGAGTGCTAATTAGGAAGAATGATATCTTGACTGACCTGTCTGGGCACCAAAATGCCTGTTAATGAAGGCTGGATGAATGAACAATGCCAATGGTGAACAGCATGCTGATTTTAATTCCCGCATGGGCAGTGAATAATGTATTCCAGGTTTGTATAACTTCTGGGCTGCATGCCTGGCAGGCTGCATCAGCATTACCAGTACTAGCCATAACCTCTCCTCCATCCCATCCCCTTCCCCAACATTTCCTCAGATGATGATGACTTTGGGGCATCATCTGACCACTATGTTCAAACAAGTAGCCTGCAGCATTACAGGTATCCAAATACCTTTTTCCAATGTCCCCCTTATAGCTGGAAAAATCCTCTACTGATGGGTCTTACTTAGACTGAAAAGCTTTACACATAAATTCTTGAGAGAAGCATTCGAGGCCTCAGCCTGCCTATAGTCAGTGCTGGGTTTTCCAGTGTTTCCCAACCTCCT